CATTGTTATGTATTGTGTGATAGCATTATGTATTATGTAATAGCATTGTTATGGTATTGTATGATGGTATTATGATGACATTGTTATGGTATTGTGTGATGGTATTGTTACCTGACATTGATAGGAAACGAGTTAAGAATGTTGAAGATAATGTGCAATACGACTTACAATGTATAGTTTCCATACAGTTATTAAAATGAATCGTAGTTACTGGAAAACAGGAGACAAAATGAAACAATGTTTCACTAGGTCAGGCAAAAATCCATTTACGAGATTGTAATGTAATAATTGTATATATTAGTATGATTATATTAGTATGATTATATTCGGACAATGTATTTAAGACAGATGGCATTCTTTTGATTTCTGGTAATGGACTGTATGGTACAGAGTCTGCTTAAAGGAACTGTGACTACGAAAATAGAGAGAGAGAGAGAGAGAGAGAGAGAGAGAGAGACTGACGGTATGGTTAATATGTGCAAATAACCCACATTCAACAATACAAAAAAAAAAAAACGCGAATTTTTGTCTAACTAGAAGTCATCATCAGGGTTTCTAGTTAGACCAAACATTAACCGAAAACCCGCACTTCGGATTATTATTATAATCACGGGGGAGCGCTAAACCCGTAGGATTATACAGCGCATGTGGGGGTCCCTAGATTAAGAGCCCCTCACCAGCGTCAAGGAACCTCCCACACTTTTGAGAGCAACCGTAGAACGTTTCGCTCCGTGACTCACGAAATCGTAATAACACGATTGCAAACAAACCATACCATGGGTGGGGTTTGAACCCGCGGTCAGAGTCTCAAAACTCCAGACCGTCGCGTTAGTCACTGGGCCAGCTAATTTAATAAGATTCATCCAACTAGGTATATTTCTACACCATAGAAAGGTTAGCATAGGCACCGCTGTGTCCACAAATGCAATTTTTTACAGACGACTCCGACCGCGGGTTCAAATCCCACCCGTGGTATGGTTTCGTTCCGTCTTGGGTCGCGATACGTCGTCACGAGACTGTTCTCCTTTGTGCGGGTTTTTGGTTAATTGTTGCAGCTACGGTATTGTAACTTTGTTATTCTTTAGACCGAAAATATTCGCATTTTCTTCTGTGCTGTTGAATGTGGGTAATTTGCTGTGTAATAATAATAGTAACAAATCAGTAGTAATATTACTTTAAATTATTTTTCTTTAAAATATTAATTGAAATGAGTTTTTCTGAAACATTGTTTTTAATAAGTTTCTTTGAGCTATTATAAATATTATGGCCTTTTAATGCAGTATTTATTTTATTGCAGACGTATATGGCCCCAATGTTATCGATATTTGGGGACTTTTCTAAAGATCCCAGCATTATGTATAACAATTTCCGAGTGTATGGCACCATCCTCTTATGGGTGATGTGCACCATCGTCAGCATTGGTGTCGCCTTTGTCAGTAAATTTGCAGCTGTTGCATTGGCTTGTGTCATAGGCTCCATTATTGCAATTCTTGTTGGCATTTTCTACAATATCAACGGATCAGATAAGTTACAGTAAGTATAATGGCTTCATTGTTTATATTTACATTATTTTTTTATCAAATTTGTAGAGGGTAATGTTGAAGATTTAATATGCAAAAACCTTTGTAATTTTTTCTAGTCTGTATTATGTCCAGAATTTCAGAAAGTATGAGTGTGGGGGAACCAGTATACTGCCTAAGATATTGTATTGTACTCTGAGCTCGGCCCATGGCCGGGCTCAGAGAGTAGATAAACTCTCGAAACTTTTCAAAGGTATATAAAAGGTTAATGAAAGGAGAGGGGGTGAGGAGTTGCAATGATGCCCATGAAGGGCTCAAAGAATAAGACCTCCCCTCCTTTTCTTTAATTCAAATCTGATTATCTCCCATTCTCTAAGCACTGTATGAGCCTTATATATTTAGCCCTTCCCTTCTTACCATACCCCTCTGTTGAGTGGGGCATTATATTACTTAAGACCCATGTTAGAGGACTTCAGTGCCGGCGTTAGTGTAGTAGAGATGCTGATTCAGGGAGCGAGGAGGTTGGATCTACCGGTCTTTATATCTGGGGTTCATCTGACCTAAGGACGCCTGCCCTGGGCTTAGTGGAGTGTGGATGTCTCGCTCTACCCTGCCTTGAAAATCAGTGATGAATTTCCCTGTTTTACTCCCTTCATCCTCCCTGTCCAGGACGTTTGTCCTCATCATCAGCTCTCTAGGTCATTCATAGCCAGGGAGCCATGCATCAGTGACTTCCAAGTTTGGGAAAAGTCTGTTGTTGGCTCAAGTGTGAATCCTGACCCTTCCGAGGTTGAGGAAACATGTTCCAGTTCTCTTTCCGGTGGATATTTTGTTTTCTTTATAATTTCCACTCATATTTGGGCAATATATGTTTTCCTGGAATCTTGGGAGGCAGAATCAATAAGGTGCCAGCCTTTGTAGCCTTTAACAACCTCAACAATAAGGAAGGAAGACTGCAGTAAGATTCCTGAGTCAGCCTTCATCGGGTGTGGACGTCTCTCTCGCCTGAGCATCAGTGACAAATTTTCCGAGCTCTCTCAAGGACGCTTGTCCTCATCTACTTTGCCTGCCGGCCACATTACAGGAGGTCATTGGCTTACTTTTAGCCAGCTCCATTTTTCCGCCTTGTGGATAATTTTTTAACTTTTGGTGGGAAGCTTATTACCGAACTCGGGGGGGGGGGGTCCCGCTCTGCTGGGGCTTGGCAGGGGGGGGTCCAACTGATCTAATTGGGAACTTCTAGTTCCTATTTATTTACAAATTAACTCTTGTTCATTTTTCTTTCGTCGGCCAACTTTGGGCAACAAATCTTTCCCGTACATTGGGAAGTCGGGCTCGATATGGGGTAAGCTGTCAGTGGCCCTGATAAACCCAACAAAAAGAAAAAGAAAACAAGAAAGACTGCAGTAAGCTTAATGGCACATGCTAGGCGGGTTCAACTCGCCCACACCCACTCGTTGGTGTGGGTGAGTTGAGAACAAACTGGAGTTTGTTCCACTTACCTACAACTCTATAACTGAAGTATACCTGGAGGTGGGTTCCGGAGGTCAACGCCCCCGCGGCCCGGTCCATGACCAAACCGTGTGGTGGATCAGAGCCTGATCAACCAGGCTGTTACTACTGGCCACATGCAAACCAATGTACTATGTACAGCCCGGCTGGTCAGGTACTGACTTCAGGTGCCTGTCCAACTCCCTTTTGAAGACAGCCAGGAGTCTATTGGTAATCTACCTTAGTATGCTGGGAAGCAGTTGAACAGTCTTGGGCCCCTGACACTTATTGTGTTGTCTCTTAGTGTACTCGTGGTACCTTTGCTTTTCACTGGAGGGGATGTTGCATCTGCCGAGTCCTTTGCTTTCATAGGGAGTGATGCCCATGTGCAGATTGGGGACTAGTCCCTCTAGAATTTTCCAAGTGTATATTATCACGTATGTATCTTTCTCGCCTGCATTCTAAGGAGTTCAGGTCAGGGGCCATCAACTGTCTGCAGGTCTGCAATTTCGCTTGCCTTAAAAGGGACCGTTAGTGTACAGCAGTATTCCAGCCTAGAGAGAATAAGTGATTTGATGAGAATCATCATTGGCTTGGCATCCCTAGTTTTGAAGGTTCTTTTTAACCATCCTGTCATTTTCCTAGCAGATGTAGTAGATACATTATTGTGATCTTTGAGAGTGAGATTCTCTGACATTATCACTCCCAGGTCCTTCATATTAGTTTTTTTAATTTGATTAATACTCCAATCCACTTTTTATTTCCTTGAATTTTCCATAGTGGAGCAGTTGAAATTTGTCTTCTTTGAACTATATATTGTTTTCTGAGGCCCATTTAAAGACTTGGTTAATGTCTACCTGGAAACTTGCAGTGTCCTCAATGGATGACATTGTCATGCAAATTCTGGTATCATCAGCAAAGGAGGACATGGTGCTGTGGCTTATGTCTCTGTCTATGTCAGCTACGAGGATGAGGGAAAGGATGGGAGTGAGTACTGCACCTTGTGCAACAGAGCTTTTCACTGTAGCTGTCTCTGACTTTACTCTGTTTATTATTCTCTTTGTGTTCTATTTGTTAGGAAGTTATGGATCTATCTACCCACTTTTCCTGTTTCGTGTATTCCTTTATCATGTATTTTGTGTCCTATTACACCATGATCGCACTTGTTGAAGGCTTTCACAAAGCCTGTATATTACATCTGCATTTTGTTTGTCCTCCAGGGCATCATAGTGGTCAAGTAGTTGTGAGAGACAGGAGCAACCTGCTCTAAACCCATGCTTAATTGGGTTGTGCAATTGTTAGGTATCCAAATGGTTGGTGATCTTGCTTCTTAGAACCCTTTCAAAGATTTTTATGATGTGGGACATTAGTGCTGTTTGTCTGTAATTCTTCGCAATTGCTTTACTGCCACCTTTCTTATATTTATAAATTTAAATTTCTCCAATTTGAATCCATTGCTGCAAATTAAATCTTGATTAGATATTGTTAACATGTTATTTATTTCTTTGTGTAGTCTTGTTTACCATTTCTACATTTTGACCATATCTCCCCTAATTGTACATTTATCCTGAGAGTGCAGATTTGGTGTCTAAAGGTTATCTTAGGGAGAGAGTTTCTGTTGAAAAGGATTTGACCTTATCATCCTTCCAGCACATTTTTGTTCATTATATAATATGGAGACCAGAAATGAGCAGAATAATCAAAATGAGGCTTTACCAAGGATAAATAAAGATCTACTTTTTTATGCTTCTTGATATGAATTCAAGAATTCTAATACCTTCATTGTAAACACTTGCACTTTTGTCTTGGCTTTAAATTTCTGCTAACCAGAACTCATAGATTTTTTTTCTTTTTGCATTCAGTTTGATTGAGATCTGCTGTACATTATTTAGCTTATAGATGCCATAATTATTTTCTTTTCCTAGTATTAGAACCTTAAACTTGTTAGCATTGAACTGCATCATCCACCTCTTTGACCCCAACATCATTCTCTCCATGTTCTCCTGTAGTGTTTTAGTGTATTCATCAGAAAATTGTTTGATGACCTATTTTAGTGTCATTGGCAAACTTACTTGTGTTGCTATTTATTCCTTCATCTATGTTGTTTATGTTGACTGTAAATAAGAAGGGTCCCAGTACTGACAACTGTGGCACACCACTCACAACAGGTCCCCATTTTGATTTCTCTCCATCAGTGCAAACTCTCTCTTATGGTCAGCCATTCCTCGACCTTGGAGATGATTTTTCTTCCTATTCCATGTGCCTCTACTTTCTTACGATGATGACAGTAATAATAATAATAATAATAATAATAATAATAATAATAATAATAATAATAATAATAATAATAATAATAACACTTTATTTCAGCATGATACAATGTTTGAACAAAGGTGAATGACATTTAGGTGCACATGCAGAAATCCCCTTAATATGCAGAGCATTTCGGGCAAACTTAAGATTGCCTTAAGGTGTTGACAATTTGAATAATTGTAAGTGTAAATATAAATTTAGAAGCTACAGTGAATACAAGAGAATTGATTATCCTATTAGTTCATGCTTTATGGCTTGTATTAAGTCAAATTGGCAATGTTTTTAATGTTTGGGAAGATTACAGATATTGAGAATAAGATTACAGTGGTACCTTGGTATTCATCCTTAATCCGTTCCAGGACCTTGGACTTATACCAAACAGGACGTATACCAAACGAATTTTCCCATAAGAAATATAGAGAAAACAATTAATCCATTCCCATGAAAAAAAATTCTATTGTTATTGGCATATTATACATTGATTGGGTTGTATAAAATAATTTAAACCCTGCTTAATACTAAAATACATACATAAATACAAAAGAATTAGATGAAATAAATGCAAATTTAACCTCACTTTACTTTGCTGAAAAGAGTCGAGTACCTACTAGGATAGTGCTGAGAAGGGAGGAGGAGGAAATGTTATTGTTTGGAAGGAGAGTCCCTCTCTTTTCTGTATCTTTTTCCCATTTGGACCTGGTTGAAGCTCACCAGGTTTGACTTTTACTAAAAATCTGTCCAAAGAACTTTGCTGCTGCCTTCTCAGAATGTTTTGTAAATGTGACATTGTCTGGTCATTCCAGACATTGCTATTATGGCTTGTTTGGTTTTTGTTGGGGTGGTACTTCTCTGCAAAGTTTTTGACATCCATCCATTTGGTGAAGATTTCCTTGATTAATGAAATAGGGTCTTCCTCTATCTCCTCTTCTGAGCCTGAAGAGAGTGCATCCATCTAAGTCTTGTGCTCCTCCTTCTCAAGTTCCTGCAGCTCCTCAGTGGTCAGCTCTTCTCTGTGTCCCTCCACTAACTCCTCCACATCACCATCACTCACATCCAGACCCATGGACCTGCTCAGAGAGACAATATCCTTCACTATAGACACAGCCTCAAAGCTCTCAAAGTCCCTTTCAGTCACTGCTTCCTCCAAGCAGAGCTCATTGTTCTGTATGAAACTTCCTGCCAGGTTTTGTCAATGAGAGTTATGCAATGGGTGATAGTAAAGTGATCTTTCCAAAACTCTCTCAGGGTTACCTCTGTGTCAGAGGTCACTTCAAAGCACCTCTGGAAGAGTGCTTTTTTGTAGAGTTTCTTGAAATTACTGATGACCTGCTGATCCATGGGCTGAATGAGAGGAGTCATGTTGGGGGGGAGAAACTTTACAGTGATGAAGTCAAACTCTGGCAGCACATAGTCCTGCAAGCTTGGAGGGTGAGCTGGAGCATTGTCCAGTATGAGGAGGGCCTTCAGAGGCAGGTTTTTCTCCTCTAAATAACTTTATACACTTGGCCCAAACACAACATTAAACTTTTTTTTTTTTTTTATCACACTGGCCGATTCCCACCAAGGCAGGGTGGCCCGAAAATGAAAAACTTTCACCATCATTCACTCCATCACTGTCTTGCCAGAAGGGTGCTTTACACTACAGTTTTTAAACTGCAACATTAACACCCCTCCTTCAGAGTGCAGGCACTGTACTTCCCATCTCCAGGACTCAAGTCCGGCCTGCCGGTTTCCCTGAACCCCTTCATAAATGTTACTTTGCTCACACTCCAACAGCACGTCAAGTATTAAAAACCATTTGTCTCCATTCACTCCTATCAAACACGCTCATGCATGCCTGCTGGAAGTCCAAGCCCCTCGCACACAAAACCTCCTTTACCCCTCCCTCCAACCTTTCCTAGGCCGACCCCTACCCCGCCTTTCCCTTCCACTACAGACTGATACACTCTTGAAGTCACTCTGTTTCGCTCCATTCTCTCTACATGTTCGAACCACCTCAACAACCCTTCCTCAGCCCTCTGGACAACAGTTTTGGTAATCCCGCACCTCCTCCTAACTTCCAAACTACGAATTCTCTGCATTATATTCACACCACACATTGCCCTCAGACATGACATCTTCACTGCCTCCAGCTTTCTCCTCGCTGCAACATTCATCACCCATGCTTCACACCCATATAAGAGCGTTGGTAAAACTATACTCTCATACATTCCCCTCTTTGCCTCCAAGGACAAAGTTCTTTGTCTCCACAGACTCCTAAGTCCACCACTCACCCTTTTCCCCTCATCAGTTCTATGATTCACCTCATCTTTCATAGACCCATCCGCTGACACGTCCACTCCCAAATATCTGAATACATTCACCTCCTCCATACTCTCTCCCTCCAATCTGATATCCAATCTTTCATCACCTAATCATTTTGTTATCCTCATAACTTTACTCTTTCCTGTATTCACTTTTAATTTTCTTCTTTTGCACACCCTACCAAATTCATCCACCAATCTCTGCAACTTTTCTTCAGAATCTCCCAAGAGCACAGTGTTATCAGCAAAGAGCAACTGTGACAACTCCCACTTTATGTGTGATTCTTTATCTTTTAACTCCACACCTTTTGCCAAGACCCTCGCATTTACTTATCTTACAACCCCATCTATAAATATATTAAACAACCATGGTGACATCACACATCCTTGTCTAAGGCCTACTTTTACTGGGAAATAATTTCCCTCTTTCCTACATACTCTAACTTGAGCCTCACTATCCTCGTAAAAACTCTTCACTGCTTTCAGTAACCTACCGCCTACACCATACACCTGCAACATCTGCCACATTGCCCCCCTGTCCACCCTGTCATACGCCTTTTCCAAATCCATAAATGCCACAAAGACCTCTTTAGCCTTATCTAAATACTGTTCACTTACATGTTTCACTGTAAACACCTGGTCCACACACCCCCTACCTTTCCTAAAGCCTCCTTGTTCATCTGCTATCCTATTCTCCGTCTTACTCTTAATTCTTTCAATAATAACTCTACCATACACTTTACAGGTATACTCAACAGACTTATCCCCTATAATTTTTGCACTCTCTTTTGTCCCCTTTGCCTTTATACAAAGGAACTATGCATGCTCTCTGCCAATCCCTAGGTACCTTACCCTCTTCCATACATTTATTAAATAATTGCACCAACCACTCCAAAACTATATCCCCACCTGCTTTTAACATTTCTATCTTTATCCCATCAATCCCGGCTGCCTTACCCCCTTTCATTTTACCTACTGCCTCACGAACTTCCCCCACACTCACAACTGGCTCTTCCTCACTCCTACAAGATGTTATTCCTCCTTGCCCTATACACGAAATCACAGCTTCCCTATCTTCATCAACATTTAACAATTCCTCAAAATATTCCCTCCATCTTCCCAATACCTCTAATTCTCCATTTAATAACTCTCCTCTTCTATTTTTAACTGACAAATCCATTTGTTCTCTAGGCTTCCTTAACTTGTTAATCTCACTCCAAAACTTTTTCTTATTTTCAACAAAATTTGTTGATAACATCTCACCACTCTCTCATTTGCTCTCTTTTTACATTGCTTCACCACTCTCTTAACCTCTCTCTTTTTCTCCATATACTCTTCCCTCCTTGCATCACTTCTACTTTGTAAAAACTTCTCATATGCTAACTTTTTCTCCCTTACTGCTCTCTTTACATCATCATTCCACCAGTCGCTCCTCTTCCCTCCCTCACCCACTTTCCTGTAACCACAAACTTCTGCTGAACACTCTAACACTACATTTTTGAACCTACCCCATACCTCTTCGACCCCATTGCCTATGCTCTCATTAGCCCATCTATCCTCCAATAGCTGTTTTTATCTTACCCTAACTGCCTCCTCTTTTAGTTTATAAACCTTCACCTCTCTCTTCCCTGATGCTTCTATTCTCCTTGTACCCCATCTATCTTTTACTCTCAGTGTAGCTACAACTAAAAAGTGATCTGATATATCTGTGGCCCCTCTATAAACATGTACATCCTGAAGTCTACTCAACAGTCTTTTATCTACCAATACATAATCCAACAAACTACTGTCATTTCGCCCTACATCATATCTTGTATACTTATTTATCCTCTTTTTCTTAAAATATGTATTACCTATAACTAAACCCCTTTCTATACAAAGTTCAATCAAAGGGCTCCCATTATCATTTACACCTGGCACCCCAAACTTACCTACAACACCCTCTCTAAAAGTTTCTCCTACTTTAGCATTCAGATCCCCTACCACAATTACTCATTAAACTATTTGGTGAAATATTCTCTGGTTACCCAAGCCTTGCTGTTTGACTACCACATCACATGTAACTGATTTTTCTGCATGTTATATTTTTTTATATTTTTATATTTTTTATATTTTTTATATTTTCATAGTGGTAGATCAGTAGAGGCTTCAGTTTGCAATCCCCACTTGTACTGGCACAGAACAAGAGAGTTAACCTGTCCGTCATTGGCTTGTGTCCTGGTGATGCCTTCTCCTCTTGTGTAATTTAAGTCCTGTTAGGTATTTTCTTCCCAAACAGGCCTGTTTTGTCGCAATTAAAAACTTGTTGGGAACAAAACCCTCAGCATCCACGAACTCCCCAAACTCTGTAACAAAATCATTGGCAGCATCTTTATCAGCACTGGCTCCCTCTCCATGTCTCACAACACTGTGAATGCCAGTCCTCTTCTTAAAATTATCAAACCAGCCATGGCTGGCTTTAAATTTCACTTTCTTGGTTCATTCCTGCCTTGTTTTTCAAAAGATCGGCATGCATCAGTTTTGCCTTTTCGCAGATCATTGCTTCTGATATGCTACTGCCAGCACACTGTTTATCTGTTATCCAGATCAAAAGCAATTTTTCAACATGCTCTGATGTCCCTGATCTGTGTTTGGTAATCAATTTCATCCCCTTTGCAATGTTAGCCGATTTAATAACATCTTTGTTTTTCACAATCATAGATACCATTGTTTTCGGCATACAGTATGCAGCAGCCAAGTCCTGGCTACGCATGCCATTTCCATGGTGATCCTAACCATTTTCTTCATTGCTTGGCTTTTCTCATTAACTTTCTTAGAACTCATGGTTAATGAATTTACTAAAAATTTATATGAAAAAAAACACAAAATCACGTGAAAATTCACAGAGTTACAGCACAGGTTGTTCACTGAATGGTAGCAATGGGCATACTGATGCTAGTGGGCAGTCATGGCTTTGTCTCGAGAGAGGGTAAACAAGGGTAGCGCACGGTGTCGTGACTCATTTTGACCCATACAAGATCTAGCATGCGAGTTGTATTCTAAACAAAGGTCTTATACCAAGCAAAAATTTTTGCATCCAAACAGGACATACACCAAGTTGAACTTATTCCAAAATGGACATATACCGAGGTACCACTGTATATTGTTTTACACATGTTCATGGACTTATTCCAAAGCGGACGTATACTGAGGTACCACTGTATATTGTTTTACATATGTTCATGACATTGAGAATATGGATATGTAGTTAATCAGCATCGTGTGTGAAACTTTATCAAAGGCCTTACTAGAGTCCATATACACAATATTATATTCTTTATCTTGGTCTAATGCCTCAAATACTTTAGTTAAAAATGGCTAGTAAATTCAGAAGGAAAATTGCATCATCAGTTATTGAGTGCATCAAATTTCCCATAATTGAGGTTATGTTGATTAGTGTATAATTTGAAGCTAAGGATCTATCCTCACATTGTAAATGGGTATCACATTTGCCATTTTTCACTTATCCAGTACAACACATTTGAAATGATCTGTTGGAAAGACTGGTTAATGGTTTGTTAAGCCCAACAAGAAATAGAGATAAACTGTGTGTATGTGCGTGTGTGGTGATGGGCTCAATATAAAGAGTAAGACCTACCTCCCCCTTCCTTGGATCAAACTTGATTACCTCAGGCTTGCTTAATGCTTCCTTGTGATTAAATTAATAATGTATTAAAGCATTTCAGATTTAATATTTTGAACCTCGTGTCATGAAACACTGGAATTGCTATACAGTAAATACTGTATTACTGTATTTATAAGATTGAATTTCTTTATAATATCTAATTGTATTTCAACCATTGCCTTATTTTGCAATATTTATAAAAATTATTTTATTTCAGGATGTGTTTTTTAGGAGCTAGACTGGTTAGCCAAGTTGATAATTGCACCAGAGAAATTGGTGGAGATCTATGGAATATTTATTGTACAATGGAAAATGGTACTGTTACACAAAACATTAATGAGTGTGATCCCTACTTTGCCACACACAATGTCTCCACACGGCCAGCAATCGTAGGACTAGCATCTGGCGTATTTACTTGTAAGTTTCCATTATTATCATATGTTTGTATAGCGTTGTTTGCTATTTCACATCTTAAGTTTATTGTAATTTCTACTGAAGTGCAACCTTATTTTGGGAATGCTAGTTGTTCCAAAATAGCAGAGTACTATTCTTAATTAAATCTTCTTCTTCTTTCAACAAACCAGCTGTATCCCACCGAGGCAGGGTGGCCCAAAAAGAAAAACGAAAGTTTCTCTTTTTAAATTTAGTAATTTATACAGGAGAAGGGGTTACTAGCCCCTTGCTCCTGGCATTTTAGTCGCCTCTTACAACACGCATAGCTTATGGAGGAAGAATTCTGTTCCACTTTCCCTTGGAGGTAAGAGGAAATAAACAAGAACAAGAACTAGTAAGAAAATAGAAGAAAACCCAGAAGGGTGCGTATATATATGCTTGTACATGTATGTGTAGTGTGACCTAAGTGTAAGTAGAAGTAGCAAGATGTACCTGAAATCTTGCATGTTTATGAGACAGAAAATTGGACACCAGCAATCCTACCATCATGTAAAACAATTACAGGCTTTCATTTTACACTCACTTGGCAGGACGGTAGTACCTCCCTGGGCGCTTGCTGTCTACCAACCTACTACCTAGTCTTAATTAAATTCTTTCTTTCAACACATCGGCCGTATCCCACTGAGGCGGGGTGGCCCAAGAGGAAAAACAAAAGTTTCTCCTTTTACATTTAGTAATATATACAGGAGAAGGGGTTACTAGCCCCTTGCTCCTGGCATTTTAGTTGCCTCTTACAACACGCATGGCTTATGGAGAAAGAATTCTGATCCACTTTCCTATGGAGATAACAGGAAATAAACAAGAACAAGAAATAGTAAGAAAATAGAAGAAAACCCAGAGGGGTGTGTGTATATATATATATATGCTTGTACATGCATGTGTAGTGTGACCTAAGTGTAAGAGGAAGTAGCAAAACGTACCTGAAATCTTGCATGTTTATGAGGCAGAAAAAAGACACCAGCAATCCTACCATCATGTAAAACAATTACAGGTTTCCGTTTTACGCTTACTTGGCAGGACGGTAGTACCTCCCTGGGTGGTTGCTGTCTACCAACCTACTACCTACTCTTAATTAAATATATAAATTTAAAAATGATTGTAGTTTAAAATTGCTACTTGGCTATTTTTGACTATTAATTATAGTTTGAATGGTAAGATATGAAGTTAGTTTTGCAGTTGAGATAGTACTATTTTGTTGTGCAGATAGTAAAAGAATAACCAGACCTGACTAAAAATAACAGTGTAATTTAACCTTATCCCTGCCATAAGTCCTGATGTATCCTTGTTAACATTTGTGTGACATAACTCGATGCTAAATGTTAAATGTTGATGAAGATAGGGAAGTTGTGATTTCGTGTATAGGGCAAGGAGGAATAACATCTTGTAGGAGTGAGGAAGAGCCAGTTGTGAGTGTGGGGGAAGTTCGTGAAGCAGTAGGTAAAATGAAAGGGGGTAAGGCAGCCGGGATTGATGGGATAAAGATAGAAATGTTAAAAGCAGGTGGGGATATAGTTTTGGAGTGGTTGGTGCAATTATTTAATAAATGTATGGAAAAGGGTAAGGTACCTAGGGATTGGCAGAGAGCATGCATAGTTCCTTTGTATAAAGGCAAAGGGGACAAAAGAGAGTGCAAAAATTATAGGGGGATAAGTCTGTTGAGTATACCTGGTAAAGTGTATGGTAGAGTTATTATTGAAAGAATTAAAAGTAAGACGGAGAATAGGATAGCAGATGAACAAGGAGCTTTAGGAAAGGTAGGGGGTGTGTGGACCAGGTGTTTACAGTGAAACATATAAGTGAACAGTATTTAGATAAGGCTAAAGAGGTCTTTGTGGCATTTATGGATTTGGAAAAGGCGTATGACGGTGGATAGGGGGGCAATGTGGCAGATGTTGCAGGTGTATGGTGTAGGAGGTAGGTTACTGAAAGCAGTGAAGAGTTTTTACGAGGATAGTGAGGCTCAAGTTAGAGTACATAGGAAAGAGGGAAATTATTTCCCAGTAAAAGTAGGCCTTAGACAAGGATGTGTGATGTCACCATGGTTGTTTAATATATTTATAGATGGGGTTGTAAGAGAAGTAAATGCGAGGGTCTTGACAAGAGGCATGGAGTTAAAAGATAAAGAATCACACATAAAGTGGGAGTTGTCACAGTTGCTCTTTGCTGATGACACTGTGCTCTTGGGAGATTCTGAAGAGAAGTTGCAGAGATTGGTGGATGAATTTGGTAGGGTGTGCAAAAGAAGAAAATTAAAAGTGAATACAGGAAAGAGTAAGGTTATGAGGATAACAAAAATATTAGGTGATGAAAGATTGGATATCAGATTGGAGGGAGAGAGTATGGAGGAGGGAATGTATTCAGATATTTGGGAGTGGAACGTGTCAGCGGATGGGTCTATGAAGGATGAGGTGAATCATAGAATTGATGAGGGGAAAAGGGTGAGTGGTGCACTTAGGAGTCTGTGGAGACAAAGAACTTTGTCCTTGGAGGCAAAGAGGGGAATGTATGAGAGTATAGTTTTACCAACACTCTTATATGGGTGTGAAGCATGGGTGATGAATGTTGCAGCGAGGAGAAGGCTGGAGGCAGTGGAGATGTCATGTCTGAGGGCAATGTGTGGTGTGAATATAATGCAGAGAATTCGTAGTTTGGAAGTTAGGAGGAGGTGCGGGATTACCAAAACTGTTGTCCAGAGGGCTGAGGAAGGGTTGTTGAGGTGGTTCGGACATGTAGAGAGAATGGAGCGAAACAGAATGACTTCAAGAGTGTATCAGTCTGTAGTGGAAGGAAGGCGGGGTAGGGGTCGGCCTAGGAAAGGTTTGAGGGAGGGGGTAAAGGAGGTTTTGTGTGCGAGGGGCTTGGACTTCCAGCAGGCGTGCGTGAGCGTGTTTGATAGGAGTGAATGGAGACGAATGGTTTTTATTACTTGACGTGCTGTTGGAGTGTGAGCAAAGTAACATTTATGAAGGGGTTCAGGGAAACCGGCAGTCCAGACTTGAGTCCTGGAGATGGGAAGTACAGTGCCTGCACTCTGAAGGAGGGGTGTTAATGTTGCAGTTTAAAAACTGTAGTGTAAAGCACCCTTCTGGCAAGACAGTGATGGAGTGAATGATGGTGAAAGTTTTTCTTTTTCGGGCCACCCTGCCTTGGTGGGAATCGGCCAGTGTGATAATAATAAATAATAAAATAATAACTCGATGCTAAAGATTGATTACATAGCTGAAATGTGTTGCACAGCCAAAATAAATGTACTATTTTTGCTAGTATCTCCCAAAATAATAATGGACACAAGAAATGTTTAATTCTTCCATGATTTATTTAGGTTATATGCATTGTAAAATGTAACCTAATGACTGAGTTCTGCTGAATAGTAGGCAGTAATTATAGCCTGGAGAACAAAATCTGTACTGTCAAGTAAATGGACACAGATGCACTAATGTGACATTGTATTGTGGCAACGTTTTGCTCTCCATGAACTTTGTCAAGCTGTAACGCCTTGACAAAGCTCTTGGAGAGCAACACGTTGACACACTAAAATGTCACATTAGTTGCATCTGTGTCCGTTTACCTAACCTTTTGTCGGTAATTCTACCATTATTACCAAAAACGGTGTTTACATTTTTTTATTGCTATCACTTAAAATATTACCATATTTCATAGTTTAGAGATTTAGCTAATTTTTTAGGGAGGCATTTTTTTTTTCTATTTTTTGGGTTTTTAGGTCATATAGTGTTAATGCTTTACACTTATTTGCTTTTAAAATTTTTGTGGTAATACTATACAGCCTTTCCTCATTTAACGACAGAGTTCCATTCCTAACACCACGTTGGTAAACGAATTTGTCGCTAAGTGAGGAACATACTATAATGGTAGTGGGTTTGTGTCAACCATCTTTGATATTGTTTTAATATCACCTTTGCACCATTTACGACATATCTGGTATATTTATACAGTATTGTACTGTATATTGTAATACACAGAATAGAGGAAATCAGCTCTAACATACGTTATTTAGGTATGCATACTGGTCAGGGAGCCAGTCGCAAGCCTGAGTCATTGGTAAATGAGTACGTCACTAAGTGAGGAGAGACTGTAATGCAATTTATTCTCACCATAAATAACTAATTTCTCCTGAAAGAATCTATACTTTCATAAAATTATGTCCAGTCTTACATGTTTTCCTACAGCTAACTTGGGTTCTCACTTCATGGAGAAAGGACAGATTGTGGCAGACACGAATAGCCCTGATGATTATGAGTCTCTAAATAACCCCACCTACAACCAGATTATCATTGATATAACAACCTCCTTCACTGTGCTGGTTGGCATCTTCTTCCCTTCATGTACAGGTTGGTGTTTATGACAACTGACTGAATTGTGTATGATTCATGATTTGCTTGTCATCAGGAATATGGCATTTTCTCATATTTCAGTGTGTGTGTGTGTGTGTGTGTGTGTGTGTGTGTGTGTGTGTGTGTGTGTGTGTGTGTGTGTGTGTGTGTGTGTGTGTGTGTGTGTGGAACATGAAGAAAAAAAAATTTTGTTTACATGATTGTGGAAATGTTTTCATGTCTGCCCAGTGGGCAGATGATTGCTGGGCATATATGAACTGGTAAGTGGGTAGTTTATCATTATTTCATATAAGAAAACATTTGTTTTATATACCATAGCATGTGACAACGTTCCACAAAGAATAGCTGATGACATGACTCCTCATTGCAGGAATTATGGCAGGGAGCAACAGATCTGGAGATTTAGCTGATGCACAGAAGAGCATTCCTATAGGAACATTGGCTGCCATTACTGCAACATCTTGTGTGTACTTAAGTTACTTGCTCCTGTTTGCTGGATCCTATGATATTAATCTAATGAGAGATAAGTGAGTTTTTATTTTTAATAACAGAATGTTCCTTTTCTGATATATAGTAGTGAATTAGCAGTCTTGTAGGCTTTATAAGTATATTTTTATTGCAGTTAGCAAGATATAAATTTAATTATTTGCCAATTGTTTAAATATGTAAGAAAAATAGTATGTATTTTTTATTCTTTATGTTAAATAAACTAAAAGATTATTAATAAATATATAGACTATGCTTTGAAGATTTAGGTATAGTATTTATTAAGAAATATTACATTAAGCAAAAATTTTAATGCAGTTCTGTAGTTTTTCTAGGATTTGTTGAAATGCATTTAACAATTTGCATTTATGTCCTGACAGGTTTGGTTACAGTGTGGGAGGGAAACTGGCCATTGCATCAATTTCATGGCCAAATGAGTGGGTGATCCTGGTTGGATCTCTGCTTTCTACTATAGGTGCTGGACTCCAGTCACTCACAGGAGCACCAAGATTACTGCAAGCCATTAGTAAAGATGGCATCATCCCATTCTTGCTACCATTCTCACAATCTTCTGCCCGAGGAGAGCCACTTAGAGCACTACTGCTTACAGGCTGTAAGTTTATTACTGGTGTCATTCACTGTCATCATCATTCTTGGTTACGGTGCCCCGTATCCTGATCGCTAAAGCTTTCGCATCACATGGAAATGGTCTGCGTTCAATTCCCAGCACGGGTGGAAACATTGGGCATGTTTCTTTACATGGGTTGTCTATGTTCACCCATCAGCAAAAGGGGTACCTAGGAGTTAGTCGACTGGTGTCAGTCGCAACCTGGGACAAGGACCTGATTTGCCCGAAATGCTCAGCATAACAAGGGGCTTTCTATATAGTAGTATGTTATTGATGTCAGCTAGGCCTGTATACCTTGTACATGTGCTTGTAGTAAATAAAGATCTTATTATTATTAATCATCAATCATCCATCACTCATTCAAATTCAAAAATTCAAAATTTTTATTTCTTTGCTTAGTATACAGTATGTAGTTTACATGTAATACAATATTGTTAAGCACAAAGAAAGCCACGAGCATACATGAGTATTTTGGGCAAATTAATGGTATTAGTTAAAAACTACTTAAAACTAGACTTAAGTTACTGAGTGGTAAATTTTAATTATGTATTATTATAAAAAGAGAGGTAGAAAATTTTTGTTTCAAACTGGTTCTATGATTTCAGAATAGTATAGTGTTAGTATAGTTAATTTTGGGAGATGAGGTGATTTTTAATTATGTACATATAGCCTTAAATTGATTGGCAGACAGGCGACCTTTTACTGGTTTGGGCAATGGATTCCGGATCATGGGGCCCTTTATGTGCATTGCATTTTTGCATAGGGTGAGGCACGAGAGATGTCGAAGAGAGTTTTGTGCTTTGTGTTTTGCCTGCTGTTAATATGATTTAAATAAACAACATTAATATAAGCAAATTTCCATAGATGCTTTAGTTATATACGTAATGTTGTTATAATGTGGGTTATGAGTAGGAAAATATCCATCTATGATAATATTCATTGCACATCTATGTTATCAATTTTGAATACCCCATTAACTGAATTTATGCAGAGCCGTATTTTCAGTAACTGCATAACAGAAATGTGGATATCAAGTTTGGATTAAATTGGTTAGCTTTTTTGTTATTTATTTAGTATTTGGCAGCCATGTACAGTGGACCCTCGCCTAACGAATGCATCACATAATGTTAAATCTGCCTAACAAAGTGTTTGAGCGTAAAAATTTTGTCCTGTCTAACAATAAAAAACTCGCCCAACGTGATTCGTCCCGAACCTGTCCGTCCAGCCTGAGTGCCTCAGCTGCCCTGCCGTCATTGTTTACAAGCCAGGGTGGCTGGTTTCATGCATACATTCGATATATTTTGTATTATTCAATTGTTTATAGTGCTTGTAATTGCTAAATAAGCCACCATGGGCCCAAAGAAAGCTTCTAGTGCCAACCCTGTGGTAAAAAGTGTGAGAAATACTATTGAAATACTATTGTACCACGGTTAGCTGCTGCTGCACCACCATCAGCTGTTGCTGCACCACTGTCAGTTGTGCTACTCGAAGATGTGGAGAGACTGTTGTTGGTGTGGCTTAATGAGAAACAATTACCAAGAAACAATTAACACCAGAGGGTTAGCCACGCAGGATAACCCAAGAAAGTCAGTGAAGTCATCGAGGACTGTCTAACTTATTTCCATTGGGGTCCTTAATCTTGTCCCCCAGGATGCAACCCACACCAGTCGACTAACACCCAGGTGAACAGGAAAAAATGCCTGGAACTAGTGCTCATATTGGTGAATTTAAGGCCAGCAAAGGTTGGTTTGAGAGATTTAAGAATCGTAGTGGCATACACAGTGTGATAAGGCATGGCGAAGCTGAAAAATTCCAACCCCAACAAGCGTTCAATTGTGATGAAGCAGACCTGTTCTGGAAGAAAATGCCAAACAGGATCTACATTACTCAGGAGGAAAAAGCACTCCCAGGACACAAGCCTATGAAAGACAGGCTAACTTTCTTGTTTTGTTGTAATGTTAGTGGGGATTGCAAAGTGAACCCTTTACTCGTGTATCACTCTGAAAATACCAGTGTGTTCAAGAAAAACAGTGTCTCATCAATCATCAATACTCTTCAGTAAAGGTAAGTGTCATTTTAACATTTATTTATATAGTTATTGTGCATGTCTCATTGTTTTCTTTGTAGGGAAATGTATATTTCATGAAAAAAAAAAAATTTTAATACTTTTGGCTGTCTGGAACAGATTAATTGGATTTCCATTATTTCTTATGGGAAAATTAATTCAGCTAACAATAATTTCGTCTAACGATGAGCTCTCAGGAACGGATTAATATCATTAAGGGAGGGTTCACTGTATAGCCAACCCTTACAGAATAACAGTTCATTTAAAACACATATGTTAGACAACAGAGGATACATTAGAAATCAGTTTTGTTTAACATGTAACAACTTGTTCCCTGCAGGTGGTTGGGGACACAGTTATGACAATATTTTCTCTAGTAATTTACCATTTCTTTTGAGAAGAAAAAATACTGCAACAAGGCCAATGTACCACATAACTTTGACAGAAGTTTCAGTGAAATGGGTAAAAAAAAAAACAATCATTATTACTATAATAAATATGGCAACACTCTTTGTCTATAACTTAGTTAATTTCCTGTGCAGTTTATTTACTTCTGCTAATTACGCTCTTTGTCTATAACTTAACTAACTTCCTGCACAGTTTATTTACTTCTGCTAATTATGCTGTTTTTATATTTTTATTCTAGGTATTTGTCAACTTGGTATTTTGATTGGTAACTTGGATTACATTGCTCCAATTCTGTCCATGTTCTTCCTCATGTGCTACGGGTTTGTCAATCTTGCCTGTGCATTGCAAACTCTATTGCGAACTCCTAACTGGCGGCCAAGATTTAAGTATTATCATTGGTAAGTATATGGGCGTGAAAAATTTCCCACTGTATTATTGTTTCAATTACAGAGGGTCTTAGTGTAGTAAATGTTGTGTATGTATTAATTATCTTTGTGTGTATGTATTAAGCTTCTTTTGACGTGTACCTGTCTCTAGCACAGCACAGTCAAGGCAGTTTTCACTGATGTAGGGTGACAAAAGCAGATATCTCTAAGCATTGTGATCTTACATACTATCTTCATAAATTTCATGCAAACATTCACATTGTCTTGGCCAAACCTACCTTGTTAGTCATCTCCCATTTATCTGACTTCAGTATTCTCTCTTTATCAACTAGAAGTCACCCATTGTTTCTGTTATCCACACAATGTATATTTTTTTTTTTTTTTTTTTTTTTTTTTAACAAGTCGGCCGTCTCCCACCGAGGCAGGGTGATCCAAAAAAGAAAGAAAATCCCCAAAAAGAAAATACTTTCATCATCATTCAACACTTTCACCACACTCACACATTATCACTGCTTTTGCAGAGGTGCTCAGAATACAACAGTTTAGAAGCATATACGTATAAAGATACACAACATATCCCTCCAAACTGCCAATATCCCAAACCCCTCCTTTAAAGTGCAGGCATTGTACTTCCCATTTCCAGGACTCAAGTCAGACTATATGAAAATAACCGGTTTCCCTGAATCCCTTCACTAAATATTACCCTGCTCATACTCCAACAGATCGTCAGGTCCCAAGTATCATTCGTCTCCATTCACTCCTATCTAACACGCTCATGCACGCTTGCTGGAAGTCCAAGCCCCTCGCCCACAAAACCTCCTTTTCCCCCTCTTTCCAACCCTTTCGAGGACGACCCCTACCCCTCTTTCCTTCCCCTATAGATTTATATGCTTTCCATGTCATTCTACTTTGATCCATTCTCTCTAAATGACCAAACCACCTCAACAATCCCTCTTCTGCCCTCTGACTAATGCTTTTATTAACTCCACACCTTCTCCTAATTTCCACACTCCGAATTTTCTGCATAATATTTACACCACACATTGCCCTTAGACAGGACATCTCCACTGCTCCAACCGTCTCCTCGCTGCTGCATTTACCACCCAAGCTTCACATCCATATAAGAGTGTTGGTACTACTATACTTTCATACATTCCCTTCTTTGCCTCCATAGATAACGTTTTTTGACTCCACATATACCTCAATGCACCACTCACTTTTTTTCCCTCATCAGTTCTATGATTAACCTCATCCTTCATAAATCCATCCGCCGACACGTCAACTCCCAAGTATCTGAAAACATTCACTTCTTCCATACTCCTCCTCCCCAATTTGATATCCATTTTTTCTTTATCTAAATCATTTGATACCCTCATCACCTTACTCTTTTCTATGTTCACTTTCAACTTTCTACCTTTACACACATTCTCAAACTCATCCACTAACCTTTGCAATTTTTCTTTAGAATCTCCCATAAGCACAGTATCATCAGCAAAAAGTAACTGTGTCAATTCCCATTTTGAATTTGATCCCACCCCTCTCCCGAACACCCTAGCATTTACTTCCTTTACAACCCCATCTATAAATATATTAAACAACCATGGTGACATTACACATGTATATGTATATGTCATCCCTAATTTATTTTATCACCTGTTTTTTTTCATTCATCACACTGTACACTCTTTGCATTCCATAATCAGTAGACCAAACAATCAGTTTTTTGTGCATTGCTGATAGGCAAAAAATTTTGGGGATTTGGCATATAAATTGATTGATGAATGCATGGGCACACCGCTTCCATGACAAGAAGATTCTTCCCCAACATGGTATACTCATCAGGTACTGGATCACTTTCTTTCCTTTATTTGCACTGACCTTCCACTTCATGCATTTTCTGTCTAAATCATTTACAATGTCTTGCAATTAATGTACATGTGGTAGCAAAGGGATAGGAAGTCTCATATAGGTCAGTGATTGTTCTAATAGGCAAGACATCAAAGTTTTCTTGCTATCTTAAGGACAGTCAGGGCACCTTTTATCATTTTCCCCTTTCAGGAGTACAGTATAAGCATTTGTTTTTTTCTCCCACATATTCTAACCTAAGCCTTTGCTCTTCATAAAGAAATTTCTTACAGTTTCTAACAGAATATCACTTGTTCTGTACATTTGCAGCACCTTCTATATTGCTCCACTAGCACCCTTTCAAATATTTCCAAATCCACAAATGTACAAAATCAGCTCCTTTCCCTAATCTAAGTACTTCTCACCCATACTGTAATGCAAAGACTTGATCCACACATCTGTCTTCCGTCCTCAACCCTCCTTGTTCTTCTGCACTTCTACTTTTTGTTTTTCTCATAATTCTTTTGATAATTCTGTCCTACACTTGCCCTGGTATACCCGACAGATTTTTTTTTTTAACACATGGGCCATCTCCCACTGAGGCAGGGTGACCCAAAAAAAATGCTTTTCTTCTTTTTGCACTTAATAATTTATACAGGAGAAGAGATTACTATCTCTTTGCTCCTGGCATTTTTTTTTTTCCTTTTATGACATGCATGGCTTATGGCAGAAGAATTCTCCACTTCTTCAAGGAGAGACTAATAGACTTAATTCCCTGTAATTCTTACACTCACTTGTCCTCTTTTCTCTTATACATTAAACATATATATGTATAGGAGTTAAGATGAAGTGCTTGGAGATTAGTTGACTGATAATAGTTATATCATGATGCTGGGTAAAATAAATCGCTGCATTTAAAACAAATTTTGCATTTCAGGTCTTTGTCCTTTGTGGGTCTCTCGCTGTGCATCACAGTAATGTTCATGACCTCCTGGTATTATGCTCTGCTGGCTATGCTAATTGCTGGTATTATCTATAAGTACATCGAATTCCGTGGAGCAGAAAAGGAGTGGGGAGATGGCATCAGAGGTCTTGCTCTTTCTGCTGCACGCTATTCACTTCTAAGATTGGAAGAAGGTATATTCTTTTCATTTTGGAAAACTTTTAAGGTCATTTTGAACAATTACAGACGAAATTCCATTAAGTTTTATTTTGTATTTTTCACATTATGCAGGACAACCACTGAAAAAAATAGTGAACTTTCAGATGCTTTCGTGATTTCTCACATAATCAAGGAACTGTGAGAAAATCATGAAAATGCTTGGAAGTTTGCTCTTCTTTTCACAGTGGTTGTTCTGCATATTGTGATATCACCTGTTTACTGTGATTTTATTGTATTTACACAGTATATAAATACAGTATCTATGTAGTAGGTTGGTAGACAGCAACCGCCCAGGTAGGTACTGCCGTCCTGCCAAGTGAGTGTAAAAGGAAAGCCTGTAATTGTTTTACATGATGGTAGGATTGCTGGTGTCCTTTTTTCTGTCTCATGAACATGCAAGATTTCAGGTACATCTTGCTACTTCTACTTACACTTAGGTCACACTACACGTACATGTACAAGCATATATACACACACCCCTCAGGGTTTTCTTCTATTTTCTTTCTAGTTCTTATTCTTGTTTATTTCCTCTTATCTCCATGGGGAAGTGGAACAGAATTCTTCCTCTGTAAGCCGTGCGTGTTGTAAGAGGCGATTAAAATGCTGGGAGCAAGGGGCTAGTAACCTCTTCTGTATATATTACTAAATGTAAAAGGAGAAACTTTCGTTTTTCCTTTTGGGCCACCCCGCCTCGGTGGGATACGGCCAGTGTGTTGAAAGAAAGAAATAAATACAGTAACCCATAAATTAGAAATAAATCGTAAAATGATGTTTTGATCCTGTCTGGACTTGATAATAGTCAAAGACAGACTGAGACATACAGATGATCCTTGCTTTGTGATGGTTCGATTTATGATATTTCGACTTTACAATGATGCAATGGTGATGAACACTCAGTAGTCGTCAGACTTTGATAGGATTAACTTGTACACCTACCATCCGACTTACGACCTGCTCGACTTACGACCACTCGACTTATGACCGTGTTTTTTATGCCAAATTTCTGGGAAATAAACAACTATTTGTGTTGTACACAGTGTTTATCCTAAACTTCACAATATAAAATACAGTACTAACAACATAAAAAGTAAAGTAAAACATGAAATACCAAAATAAAACAATAAAATAAAGTTATTACAAAAATGTTTTGTTGATATTCAGTAGTAAAGTTCGACTTACGACCATTTCAACTTACGACCGGTTTCTCAGAACCAAACTCGGTCGCAAGTCGGATGGTAGGTGTATTTATTTATGTTTCAGTACTGGTATTTAGTTAGTTACAGTAATTATTTGTTTATACAGCAGGGCCCCGCTTTACGGCGTTTCACTTTACGGCGTTCCGCTAATACGGTCATTTCAAATTATGACCAAAACTCGCTATACGGCTCCCCCCACCTGACTTTCTAATACGGTCACCGCGCCCCACCCTGTTTGTTTACATTCTCTGTGAGCTCAGTAAGCACTAAGTCTCTCCATTTTGTCTGGAAACTCCAAAATTTAAAATGTTTTTAAAAGTTATTTCATATTTTATATATACTCTGATAATTATACTTATGTATACCTGTACCTAAATAAGCTTACATACTGTGCTGGCATGCAGGTACACATTAAAATCAGTAAGAGTGTCTTATGTCTTCAGACATCATATTAGTAATGATAATAATAATCATCGAGTCTCATTTAAATGTGGTATATTACGTTAATATACACATTTTCATTAATCCATCTATGATATTTTTCAAAATTATATAATAAACACGATGCATAACATATAAATAAGATAAATACACCCCACAGTAGAATAAATAAACATAAATGTGAGATGTGGTAGCAGACGACTTGCACAAGTGACGCCATATTAGAAATGATAATAATAATAATAATCACCGAGTCTCATTAAATGTCGTATATTACGTTAATATACACATTTTCATTAATCCATCCATGATATTTTTTTCAAAATTATATAATAAACACGATACATAACATAAAAAGATGATAAATACACCCCACAATAGAATAAATAAACATAAATATGAGATGTGGTAGCCAGATAACTTGTACAAGTGACGGCAAGAATAACATTTTCTCTAATCTAACATAAGAGAAAATGTGTTACTGTGGGTAACTGTAGAAAATTATTCCTTTCGTATGTATGTAAGTTTATTCAGGTATACACAAATACAGTTACATAGAGTATCATACATAACATATGTGTAGAGAACCTAGGATAACCCAAAAAAGTCTGACTTATTTCCATTGCCTTCACCCAGAGCATCATTTCTTCTCAAAATGATGTTACATGAGAAGGGAGTGTTCTTCTTTATTTATTCTACCATATCAATGTAGAGACAACCTGTACACAATGTAACTTGTACATAAACCAGACGTGTACACTTTGTTTACAAAACTTACCTTCGCCTGGTTTGTTTACATAACTCTGCGCCTGTCCTCTCTCATGCACTCATTCTTTCTCTCTCTCATTTATTCATTTTATCTCATTTACTTACTCCTGACCCTACATTAAGACTACAAATATTTTAAGGTAAGTTAATTTTAAGTTAATTTTAAGCCAGCCCGTAATGCTATGCATAGTATAAGTGGCTTTGGCATACTGCTCTTACCTGTATTTGTTGTACCTCTGTATGTGTGCTCAAATTTTTAAATAAAAAAATAAATAAATAAAAAAAAAAAAATAAAAAATGAGTGAACTGTATATACATTTTATTGCTCTGGGATGCTTAAATATCATAGAATAGTATGTGTGGGTGGGTTGGCCTGGTATGGTAGCCCGGCTGACTACCATACATACCGCACTTGATTTTTTACAATAAATACTACTCATCTCACCCTATATTTTAAGGTAACTAATGAGTGAACTGCATATACATTTTATCGCTCTGGGATGCCTAAATATCATAGAATAGTATGTGTGGGTGGGGTGGCCTGGTAAGGTAGCCTGGCTGACTACCATACATACCACACTTGATTTCTTACAATAAATACTACTTGTCTCACCCTAGATTAAGACTATAAATATTTTAAGGTAAGTAATGAGTGCACTATGTGTGTATTGTACTTTTTTATTGTTTTTTGATGCCTGGTTCTATTGCTAACTTAATATATGTTAGTGTAAACTTGTTATCTAGTGTTTGTATGCATTTATAAGTGGAAAAAAAGGGTGTTCCACTTTACGGCGGTTTCCGCTTTACGGCGGTAGCCTGGAACCTAACCTGCCGTATAAGTGGGGCCCTGCTGTATACTTATTTATTTACTTATATATCGTATATATTCGTTTTCAACTTAGGATATTTTTAACTTAAAATAGATTAATTGGAACATAACCTCATCATAAGTCAAGGAGCACCTGACTTTTATTGTTTGCCTAAATTATTATTTGAGGGTCTAAACTTTTTTAGTAGAATAATAATAGTCGAGAAGATAGGCATCTGTCATTAGCAAAAATATGAAAAACTGAGGCAAATAATCAGGAAAGGACAGCAGCGATACAAATGCTCAGTGCAGAAGGGACACACTGCAGAACAAACTTTTATCGGGATAGAATTTGTGTGTCCAAATGGCAGCACACCGTTTGGACCCACAAATTCTCAGTTTGTAGCCACATTCACAAAGCTTACTATTAAGGCTTTTCACAGGCTGTGAAATGTTGAATGCACTTTTTCAATAGCATTTACAAAAACTCGCACTATGTAGTTGCTTTATAAGAGGGTTTTTTATATATTCTGCGTACTGGACTTATAGAAGGGAAGGAGGGGAAAAGGAGTTGAAGAGCTGGTGAAATGAGGTGGTTTTACTCATTATTTTTCCCTTGTTAAATTCTTTATACAGCCTCCCCTCACTTAGCAATGTACTCGTTTACCGATGACTCAGACTTATGACAAGCTCTCTGACCAGTATGCATACCTAAATAATGTATATTAGAGCTGATTTCCTCTATTCTGTTTATTACAATATACAGTACAGTACTATAAACATTTAAAAATATACCAGAAATGTTATAAATGGTGCAAAGGTGACATTAAAACAATACTAAAGATGGTTGACACAAACCCACTATCATTATACATGTAGTGTGCTCCTGACTTAGCGACGAATTCATTTACCGACATGTTCTTTGGAATGGAACTCCATCGTTAAATGAGGAGAGGCTGTAATATGAAATACAGCACAGCATGATAGATCAGCGATACTTCTTCATTTTAATGCAGTCAAACCATATCATATTTATCTTTGTCTTTCCAGGTCCACCTCATACCAAAAATTGGCGTCCTCAGATTCTTATCCTAGCAAAGTTAACGAAGGACTTAGTACCCAAGTACAAGAAGCTGTTTACATTTGCATCACAGCTAAAGGCTGGCAAGGGTCTGACTATAGGAGTATCAGTTATTGAAGGAGATTATTCGGTAAGTAGAGTACTGTGAAATCTAGATATCCATGAAACCTGGATACCCGTGAAACCTGGATACCCGTGAAACCTAGATACTCATGAAACTTAGATACTCGTAAAGCCTAGATACTTGTTCTCTCATCTTCATTTTCTGTGATCAGTGTGTAATTTTTCTGCATCTTGCACAGTAATTTTAGTGTTGGTAGAAAACATTACATTATCACCTTATTACATAGCTTTGCCCATGGCCAGGCTCCGAGAGTAGTTAAACTTGAAATTCTTCAAAGGTATAGCAAGACAGTTGAAATAAAACACGGAAATATCAAGAGGCAGATGTAACCGGTAGACATTTGTTGGTGCCGTAGATCTTTAGTGTCACTTTACTACTCATCATTTTAGTATATTGTTTAGGGAATAGCCTCTAGGAGGATAGCTCTGCAAACAGAAAAATTAACAAAAATTTCATTGTATTGTATTACTTTCTCAGGTGTTGTGACTGCATTCCTTAATGCTATATTATTCAAGAACAATATAGGCCTAAAAACCTCAGTCGAATTGCTACACATCTTTGTTCCAAAGTACTGCACTGTACAAAACATTTTCAACTTTTTATGTATTTTGGCAAAAATTGGTATGCACAGTATATCTCAAGCAAGTGAATTGTGTATTTTGAAGGAATTTTTGTTTTAAAAAATTAATTTGTTGAGAATGTGTGGCAATTTAGATGATACAGTTTTAGTTATTCAGTTGTTACAGATTTCTTTTACTGTAATTTATTTATAATTTTATAAATTTTTTTCTGTTGATTTGTCATATAAAATTTTAAGGCATATAAACTTCTGTTATTTTTGTTTTATTTTGTATATACTGTATTTACTTAGTTTAAGAGCAATACTATGAGGATCTCAGTGCTAAAGTGAGTAAAAATGTTGTAGAGGGAGTAGTAGGTAAATTTGGGGTGCCAAGGGTAAATGAATATGGGGAACCTTTAATTGAACTACGTGTAGAAAGAGGTTTGGTAATAAGTAATACTTTTTTTTCTTCAACAAGTCGGCCGTCTCCCACCGAGGCAGGGTGACCCAAAAAGAAAGAAAATTCCCAAAAAGAAAATACTTTCATCATCATTCAACACTTTCACCTCACTCACACATAATCACTGTTTTTGCAGAGGCACCCAGATACAACAGTTTAGAAGCATATATAAGGATTTATAACATATCCCTCCAAACTGCCAATATTCCAAATCCCTCCTTTAAAGTGCAGGCATTGTACTTCCCATTTCCAGTACTCGAGTCCGGCTATATAAAAAAACCAGTTTCCCTGAATCCCTTCACTAAATATTACCCTGCTCACACTCCAACAGCTCGTCAGGTCCCAAAAACCATTCATCTCCATTCACTCCTATCTAACACCCTCACATACGCTTGCTGGAAGTCCAAGCCCCTTGCCCACAAAATCTCCTTATTACCTCCCTCCAACTTTTCTGAGGACAACCCCTACCCTGCCTTCCTTCCCCTGCAGATTTATAAGCTCTTCATGTCATTCTACTTCAATCCATTCTCTCTAAATGACCAGACCACCTCAACAACCCCTCTTGAGCCCTCTGACTAATACTTTCATTAACTCACACCTTCTCCTAATTTCCACAATCCAAATTCTCTGCATGAGGTCTCCCTCAACATTCGCAAGGGTTATGGGATCAAGAACCTTGCGAATGTTGAAAAATTGTGAATGTTTGGTGCCCTAATATATTGTAGGGAAATATAATACAATACTGCTTCCTTAACCTATTGAACCATGAACAATCATAAAACACATGAAAACATCATAAAATATTGTACTAGTGCCAGCCCTTTGGTAAAGAAGGTGAGAAAAACTATAGAATTCAAGAAAGAACTCGTAGCAGAGTACCAAAGTGGAGGAGGAAGAGAGAGGGGAGAATGTGCCTTCTTTAGTGATTCTGCGATATGTACGATACTAAAACAGCATAAGTCGATAGAGGCTATAGTGCCAGCCAGCGATAAAGTGTAGCATTAACAGTGTAGCAAGTAAGTTAAGCAGTTAATCGATAGAAAAAGGACAGCACGAACCTAACTCCTCCAATGTTGTTGGAGTTATACAGGGCGACTGACAGCACCACCGTTTCTAGTCTCTACTGCCTCTGATGCCACCTCCACCACCACTATGTACAGCTTATGTCTCAGTGGCCTTTATACACCCAACAACAACAACACAGCAACATTCGTGACATATTTAATGACGTATTTTATTCATTCTAAGCTATATGTCATGTTTTTGTTATCAATATTGTTTATTATGTCATATTAGATGAATTGTGATAGATAAATAAGTCGTAGAGTTGATATTAGTGTCATATTGAAGGACTATCTTGTCCTATCTCCAAACAAACTCTGCCACTGCCACAATTCCTAAGATGTGTAATGACATATTTTGACTGTTTCGGTTGTATATATACGTCTTATGAGCCAATTTGTTTGATGTATATATATATATACTCAAAAATTCTAGCGGCTTCAAATCAACCAGGAGAAAGCTGGTAGGCGCACATGTGAGAGAATGGGTCTGTGTGGTCAGTGTGTACTGTATAAAAAAAAATCCTGCAGCATGCAGTGCATAATGAGAAAAAAAAAAACTCTGACCGTGTTTATGGATTAAAATGCCGACTTTGAGGTGTATTTTCGTATAGTATTTATGGTTGTATTCTCTTTTTTTTTTTTTTTGGTCTCATTTGATGGAATGGAAAACATATTACAGAAATAGAGATGATTTTGATTGGTTTTACTATGAATAAAACCTTGAAATGGAGCTCAAAGTAGGGGAAATGTTTGATATTTGCAGATGTTCAAGAGTAAACAAATGACGTCATTGTCCAATAAATGTCCAACTAGCCATTCTGATACGCAGTCATGAATGAGTTGACATTATTTATACAATTATTACAATACTGCAGTAGTCTACATAACAGTAAATCTTCTATTTTTAGTTTGAATAAAAATTCAAAATAGAAAGCAAGAGTAATATCAGAGGGGCCTGGAGACGTGACTGATGAACAAAGAAAATGTTATTTTAGAGCCAGGAATGTCTGTATTGTTCATTCTGGACCCTATTTGAAATTGGCATATTTTTTAATTTGCATGAAATTGGCCAAATTGCCAATTTCTGACCACTATTGGGTAGTTGAAATCAGTAAATGGGCAGTTTCTTGTACTCAGTCGATAGAACAAATGGAGTTCTAAAGAAATGGCTATGAGTTTGGTCGACTGGAACAATGGAGTTAGCCGAAAATAGGGCTCAAAGTGAGCGAAATCGCTGATGCGTAAATATCGCTGAGGTTGCTAACCTCAATAGAGTGTAATTACGTAAGTTTTTCATCAAATTTCGTACTTTTGGTGTCATTACCATTGGGAAAAGATTCTCTATCATTTCATAAGAATTTTTTTTTTTTTTTTTAAATACAGTGGACCCCGCCTTACGATATTAATTCATCCCAGAAGTCTGTTCAGGTGCCTTTACCGAACGAATTCGTTTCCATAAGGAATATTGTAAATTAGATTAGTCCATTTCAGACCCCCAAAAATACACGTACAAAAGCAATTACAAAAATACACTTACATAATTGTTCGAGTTGGGAGCTGATCGTAAGGCGGGGGTCCACTGTATTTTGCGACACCAGGAGACACCTCAGGATTTGGGGTTGCGACAGTCAAAGGGTTAAATATGATTGGGCGGCTAGGAATTCGCGAATGTTCTAAGCCCGCAAAAGTGGAAAACGCGAATGTTGAAGGAGACCTGTATTTACACCACACATTACCCTTAAACACGACATCTCCACTGCCTCCATCTGCCTCCTCGCTGCAGCATTTACAACCCAAGCTTCACACCCATATAAGAGTGTTGGTACCACTATACTTTCATACATTCCCATCTTTGCCTTCATAGATAACGTTTTTTGTCTCGACAGATACCCCAACGCACCACTCACCTTTTTTCCTTCATCAATTCTATGGTTAACCTCATCCTTCATAAACCCATCCGCTGACAAGCCGATTCCCAAATATCTGAAAACATTCAGTTCTTCCATACTCCCTTTCTCCATTGTCATATCCAATTTTTCTTTATCTAAACTGTTTGATACCCTCATCACCTTACTCTTATCTATATTCACTTTCAGCTTTGTACCTTTACACACCCTCCCAAACTCGTCCACTAACCTTTGCAACTTTTCTTTAGAATCTCCCATCAGTACAATATCATCAGCAAAATGTAACTGTGTCAATTCCCATTTTGTATTTGATTCCCCATAATTTAATCCCACCTCTCTCCCGAACACCCTAGCATTTACTTCATTTACAACCCCATCTATAAATATAGTAACCCTTTGAGGGTCAGTCACGTACTAGTACGTCATTGCAGCCAGGGTCAGTCACGTACTTGTACACCTAAATTCTAGCGCTTTCAAATCTGGTGGAAGAAAGCTGACAGGTCTACATATGAAAGAATGGGTCTGTGTGGTCAGTGTGCACAGTATAAAAAAAATCCTGAAGCACACTGTGCAAAATGAGAAAAAAAAAAAACTTTGACTGTGTTTTTGGTTTAAAACTGACTTTCTAGTGTATTTTAGTATGGTATTTATGGTTGTATTCTCGTTTCCTTGGTCTCATTTGATAGAATGGAAGATACGTATATTACATCCAATACACATCAAATGATCAGTCTAATATTCTTTCACAAGTGCGCTTATACCATTTATACTGTTTTTACAATGATGCAGTAGTATACATAACAGAAAGCCATCTATTTTCTTTGAGAATAAAAATTCAAAATGGAAAGCAAAAGTAATGTAAGAGGGGCCTAGAGACATGACTAATGAACAGATGAAATGTTATTTTAGTGCCATGAATGTCTGTCTTGTTTATTCTGGACCCTATTTCGAAATTGGCATCTTTTGAAATTGCCCAAATTGCCAATTTCTGACCACTTTATTGGGTAGCTGAA